GAGCTTTTGGGAGTGGCGGCTGGGGGGAGGGGCGGGACAACAGAGCTAGGGACAAGTTGTTCTTTCCGGAAACGTGAGGTTCTTAGGGCACCCTATTAAGGCATAGGTGCCCTTGGACCTCAAGATTCTAGTTTCGTCTCTGTGGGCAACTTTTCTTTCGTTCTTCCTTTTTGTGGTGCTGGGGATTGAACTCAGGGCCTCATAGATGCAACGCAAGTAGTCTACCACTGAGCTACATTCCCAGCCCTGCGTGCAGGTTTCTCGGGGAGCTGGGGCAAATTCTTCCTTCTCTCTGGACCTGAGGCTTATTGCTTATAGGATGAGGGAGTAAGCCAAACAATGGGAAGTCTGCTTAGGTTGCAGTCTTTTAGGAGAGTGGTCCTTAACACTGCATGGTGGTAGTATTTCCAAGGGCTTAGAAGGCTGAGGCAGGAGGATGGCAAGTTCGAGGCCAGCCCCGGCAATTTAACGAGACCAAAGCGGGAGGGAAGGTTCTGGGGATGTAGCTCATTGTTAGAGCACCCTGGGTTCAATATTCCGCAGTAACATGCCAAAACAATAGAGAGGTCCTTGCTGGCAGCAGGAGACTCTTCAATAACTACAGAGCTTTTCTTAGCTATTGCCTGGCTTCTTTTCAAGAACTGAAGACCTTGACAAGGGACCTAACAAACGAATAAACTGAAACCGGTTTGGGGCTGCAGCCACCCCCCCCCACCCCCCCACCCTACGATTTTCTATTCTGGCTAAGCTGTAGCAGGGTCCGGCCTGCAGGGGGCGCTAAGGGCTCACTCCGCCGACAAAACTAAATTTAAGCTTTTCAGCAAATTGCCTGAAAGCATCCAGTGGGTTAGTTTTCGCATTTTCTTTCTTAAGAGGATTGAGCTTTTCCAAACTTGAAGATTTCTGTCTTTGATATGCAATCGAAGAAAGTGAGTTATATCCATGGCCCAACACCCGCTCTCTCCACAGTGGATGTTAAAGATTGGTGCTCATTTCAGTTCCTTTGTTTTACAGATGAATAAACAGACTCTAAGATGAGGTGGTGGGGATCGCTTTGGGCGAAAAGACTGAAAACTAACACTTGAGTTGCTTGACTCCTGAGAAGTGCTTTTAGGAGACAGTTGGCTCTGTTCCCTAGAGTCTGTAACCACGACTTGCCTCCTGATGTGCAACTCTTAGGGACAGTTTCAGTGTTGGTTGCAGCTTAACAGCTCAGGACCTGTCATCTCCACAGGCAGGACCTCACTCAGCACCTCACACGGTGCCTGCTTAATGAGTAATTGAATGAATGTTTGAATAAGCTTTGGCAGGTGTGTCCCCTTTGGGCTTTATCAAACCCATTGGAGTAAAGTTTTTTTCTCTGAAAGCTCTCCCCAGGCAGAAATTGTGTTCTGAGATTTGGAATCTGGGGAAGGAAAACAATACGAAGAGCTCAGAAAATGACTTCTGGGGTGATAAATCATGACCCCTGGAATGGTCACAGTACAAGGTCATTATAATGCCAGAACTGGAGAGAGAAAATTAATTCAGCAAAACTAAATACAGAACAGATGAGAATCCCATTAGGTTCATAATCTGAAACAGGATCTGAAGCTGAAGAAATCTCAAAAACATTTCAAATCTAATCTAGATGTGGCTTCAGGACTAAAATGTGATTGAGGAATAAAAATAGCTTTGGCCAATCAGTGGCCTTAACATAGCTGATGCAAGACTCGAGAGAGTATGGCAACAAGAGGAGGAAATCTTGAGTGAACCAAAAATATAAGGTGTGGGGGAGGGGAGGAATATGCCCCTGCCATTATCACCAGCCCCCCACCAAGCCCCAGCAAACTGATAAATTCAAGGCTGGATTTCCAGAGCCCAGCACAGCACCTGGTACACACTAGATGGTCAATAAATATTTACTGAATAGAGGAGGGAGGGAAAGAGCAGGTTTGTTCTGAGTAGAGCCGGTTCAGTGATTCATCTTTTCGCTGGTTCTTTTGCTTAGATTTCAGCTGCCCTGGCCATCTTCAGATGATAACGTAGCTTCTCATGAAGACTCTCTGGAAAAGGGATGTGCTGGCCCATCAATTATAGGCCACTTGACAGTTATGTTTCTCACTCTCAATTAATATATCTGCTTTAAGCATCAGTTACATGTGCCAGCATGCTTCTTACATATTCACAGTCTTCTGTCATCACCAGTGTGGTGGAGTTTCTGCTATAGAGTCATCCTGAGTTTGAATACCTACTCAACATTAATTATCTGATCTTAACCAACATACCTCTTGAGCTCAGTTTCCTCATCTGTCAAATGGGGACATAATGCCTTGTTACATAGAACAATGGATATATGCTGGACTTTTACTGAAGCTCAGTAAATATTAATGCTTATGCCTCTTCCTCCTTCCTTCCTTGGAGACTGGGTTACAAAACATCACCGAATTTAGAATATCAATCCTGTTGTTTTTCCTTTTCACAAAAATCACTGACTTTGAAAGTAAAACTTTGGGAACAATTCAGTCTTTTCCCTGCAGATTCTATAAGAGTAAATCACATATATAAGAAATATTTACTGGGGGTGCTACAGATATAGCCCAGTGGGAGAATGCTTGCTTGCTTTTGAGTCCCTGGTCTTATCCTCAGCACCACTGCCTGGCACATGCCTGTAATCCCAGCAATTCAGGAGGCTAAGCAGAAGGATTGCAAGTTGGAGGCCAGTCTGGGCAATTTAGTGAGAACTTGTCCCCAAATAGAAAACACAAAGGGCTGGGGATGTAGCTCAGTGGTATAGCAGCCCTGGGTTCAACCTTCAGTTCCACCTAGAAAAAGAAAAAGAGAACTCACTTTATGCTATTGAGGTGATGTAGTGGTGAGGTGGTGAAATACTACCACCATGCAGTGTTAAGGACCACTCTCTTAAAAGACAGAGACAATTCAACACAGTTCCTATCTTAAAGGAATTCTAATACTGCCTGGTACGGTCAAAAGTCAATACTGTGTGAACTTAACAAAACAAGCAATTTTACCTTGCTGAGCTGAAGTTCCCTCGCTTTGTATAAATGGTCAATGATATTCCATTGTTAGTTGGAGGAAAGAGGCAAGACATATAGACATGATAATGAGTCAAGTTTGGAGACCAACAGTATAAAAAGTTAGAAAAAATGGGATGAGAATCTAGCTCAGTGGTGAAGTACTTGCCTAGCATACAGGATGCCCTGGGTTTGATCCCCAGCACTACCACCAAAAGAAAAGAAAACAAAAAGAGAGGTAGAAAAAGGTGTTGAGGAGTGGGTGGACTACTTTCAGCTGAGCTGAAGAAGCAAGGAAATGGCATTTGAACAAAGGCTTCATTCAGGCCACAAACAGGAATGAAGGCATTGAATGCCAGATACACTTTCAATGGGCAGAGATTTGCATAGAGAAGTACTTAAAAGAAAGGTTTGAAGGCCAAACAAGGAGTATGGGTGTGGCAGATGAGAAAGCCGAAAAAGTAAGGTAAGGAATATCTTGGCAGGCCTTGATATCAATCTTGGGGGGGGGGTGTCTTTATTCTGTAGCTGATGAGAAACCAGGGAAGCTTTTTGATCTGGACATTTAACATTACAGAGTGATTGTGTGTGTGTGTGTGTGTGTGTGTGTGTGTGTGTTTTGCTGGAAATGGAACCCAGGGCCTTTTGCTTCTACCACTGGGCTACCTCCTCAGCTCACACAGTACTTAATTCATAGGAAGATTCAGTGACTACAGGCATACTATTGTCAGGACATTGTGCTAGGTAGCATAGAACAGGAGAAAAAATATGTAAAATGGTGGACCCTGCCCTCCAAGAGCTTATAATTAAAAGGTCAGATAAGACATATACAGAAAATTACAATGCAAAGTAGAGTGTGAAAAGTGATGAGAGACCCAACCCAAGTGCAGAGGGAGTTTAGGAGAAGGTGAGATTATTTTCTTTCTCCCAAGAAGCTGGAATCAAGAGAACACATCAGAGGCTCATCTTGGAATCATAAGCCTAAGGGGACCTGGGAGGCCTAGTTCACTCTGGCCCCTGCCAGGATTCCCAGTCTGAATAAACAAGAGCTTTCAAAATTGAAATAAAGAGAAGGGTTCAAAAGACAACAGTGGAAGAAACTGTGAAAAGTGAATAGGACATTTGGCCTTGAGATGCTAAGGTGCTGGTAGAGGCAACTTCCTTGCAAAAGGAGAGTTGAAAGCCAGGAAATGGATGAGATCAGAGAAGTGTGGAGAGAAGAGTGATAAAAACTGAAACTAGGGGAGCACCCACGTTTTAGGGAGTGGGAAGATAAAGAGGAGTCAGAGAAGGAGTGGCCAGAGGGAGAAGTGAGAATAAACCCAGCAGAACACCTTGTTACAAAGTTTCGAGAAAGAGGGTGGCAAATGTGGAATACAGGACTGGAGGCACCAAAGGAGAAGAGGGGGGAAATGGCAGCAATAGGGATCAAGATTAGACGTGAGGTTGCCAGTGGCATTTTAGTGCATGAAGGCTTTTCCAGAGACTCCACGAATAAGGTGGATTCCCTGTGTCTGGTACACTTAGAGGTGGAGTCCTCCCCGGGGTCTGGGGGTAGAGGGTGGCGACCTTTGGTCCCCAAATATCTGGTATTCGACGCTGTAATTAGCACCGCTGGAGCCAAACCTCTCCCAACCCTAGCCCGTCGCTCCAGGAACTGAAAAGCTAAAGAACTCATTTGAGAGGGATTTCACACCTGGCTGTCTGGTCCAGCCCGGTAAAGTCCCGTTTCATCATGCAACCCTAATGACTCTGTTGGCTGTCAGTCTTGTCTGGTATTGCCAGTGAACTGACTAACCCCTCTTGCAAAAGTTTGCAGCATTCGTCGGAGTCCGACTACAGCTCCCAGAGTTCCCGGGCGCTGCCGGATGCCGATTGGAGGAACAGTTAGCTCCAGAGGGAGGTGTTGCCCCCGCCTTCCCGAGAAACAGGCATCTGATTGGCTGTGCCGCGGGGCTTTTGTGTCCCCGCCCTCCCCCGGGGACCGCAGCGAGCTGAGAGGCGCTGCTGGTGTCAGAGCCAGACGAGCGCTTGCAGTTCCGCGGAGGGGATGCTGAGGAGCGCTGGGTCCGCGAGCAGCGCTGGCTATTGCGGACTTCCGAGGCACCTCAGGCCGTGAGAACCCCTGCGTCTCGACCAAATCCAGGGCCCCAAGGCCATTCACTGTTCCAGAAGCCAGTCTGGGAGAAGAGTCCAGCACAGCAGTAGCCGTCTCCGGATCCTGAGCGTTCTGGAACCCCGAGAGACACCCTGGGGTTCTCGAACCTCCCCCAGCAACTCCCAGCTCCAGCTTCCTGCGTGCGTCCGTCCGTCCGTCCGAGACACCCCACCCGTGCTCTAATCTCGGCGAGCCGCGACTGAGTGCTGGTGCACACACCATGATCGTTGCGGACACCGAGTGCCGCGCGGAGCTCCAGGGCTATCTGCCGTTCTCCCGGGGCGGCGTAGGCGCCCCTGGGACCGGAGAGGTAAGCTGCCGTGGATCGACGACACTCTTCCCTGAGCCGCGTCCATGCCTCAGGCTAGCTCGAGCTAAGTCAGTGCGCCCCCCGGGCTCAAAAGGGGGAGTGGAGCGTGTAAACCTGGACTAGGGTTGCATCAACCGGCAGCCTTGGGCCTCCCCTTCCCTCCCCTTGTCCCTCCCTTCCTCCCTTCTCCACTCCCCCCTACCCCCCGGGGCTGCGGAGCCCTCCCTGGCTTCATCGGACTCCTTGGCCAATGAGAGGGAAGCCTTCTCGAGGCTCTCCCGGGTTTGGGCTCTTGTCGAGAGAGTCTTCAAGTCCAGGCAAATCCCTGCCGCTGCAGCCCCGCCACTCCTCCTCCCCGCCCCCTTCCGCAGATTCCCTGTCTCTTGGCGGTGGCAGGCCAGCAGAGGACTTTCTGGGATGTCCTGGCTCCGAGCCTTGGGGAATGGGACACCTGGGTCTGACCGGCTAAGGTCGACTTCCTTCCCCTGCCCTCATCACACCTCGGATTTGAAACCGGGTGCGGGTGTTCTGGGGGGTTGGCTGGCGGCGGCAGCAGCAGCTAAAGCTGGGAGAAGGGTTCCCGAAGTAGAAGACTGTTGCTAATTAGGCTGCTCCCTGCTAAGTGGTCTGGGGTCCTCGAAGTTTGTTCAGCAGGGACTCTCCTCCTGCCCCCACAGAGCGTGGAGGGGCTTTGTAGGGAGGCAAGAATAAGGTCGGACCTAATTTAACGTCTCACCCGCGACCAGCAGTGGGGATAATGAACATGTTATCATTTATTAAGCACCTATTAGATACCAGGCTTGAAGCTTTGAGTCTTCTGACTAAAACAGCAAAACAAGCTACACTATAGCCCCATTTTCCAGGGTGAGAAGGGGCTTGAGGCTTCTTTCACTAACCCCATAAAGTACCTCATTCTTTGGCCTAGGATTTTGGAGTGGCCTCGGCACTACAGGGAATTTATGGAGGTGTTATTACTGGGAGTTGGTAGAGTTCTAGTCTTAAAGGGAGTGACCTGGGGAAAATCTCTGCTCTGTGTAACATGATTTCTGAATGGTTTGCTACCATTTTTTCTTTTAGTTACCTTACCCTTTCATACCATGATTTAGGAGCCCCATTTAGAGGAATGACCTCTTCTGCCTCTTCACAGCTGAGTTACTTTAATGTTCATGAAAAAAATGGAAATAATGTTATTATTGAGATCACCTGGGTACTAGAATGGGCCAGTGATGGGCTGGGCTTGTGGCTCAGTGGCAGAGCACTTGCCTTGCACAAACGAGGCACTGGGTTTGATCCTCAGCACCACATAAAAATAGATAAATAAATAAAATGAATGTATTGTGACCATCTACAACTAAAAAACTTAAAAAAACAAACAAAAAACCCCCAATGGTCCAGTCTGGTTCCAGCCCTCCACTTAATTCTCTGTGTTCTTTTTGCCAAATGATGGCTCTCTGAGTGCAGTTTCTTCTCATGGGGATTGATGGTATCTCTAAGAGGTTATTGGGAAAAATTAACTCAGAATATGAGATTGTTGGGAGAATTAACTCAGAATATGAGCAAAGGACCAAGTATAGGACTTGAACATAGTAACTGCACCCCAAATCCTGGGCTACTGTCAGAATGTGGTCACACATTCCCCATTCTTCAGAGTGACTTGTAAGGGGCTTCCTGAGCCTGTTGCCTCCTGCCTGAGGTGAGAATGAGTACATTGCTCTCTGGGACTATGCTTAGAGAGTGGTCTAGGAAGAAAAGAAAGAGTACCTTAGGTACTCTTAGTTTGAGTAGACATTGAGGGAGTGGCCTTTAGAGGAAATCACTTTTCAGCAGTGGGAAAAGCTGCTGATGCCTGTAGTTTTTGTTTTGTTGTTTTGGGGTTTTTTTTTGGGGGGGTGTACCAGGGATTGAATTCAGGGGCACTTGACCACTGAGCCACATCCCCAGCCCTATTTTATATTTTATTTAAAGACAGGGTCTCACTGAGTTGCTTAGCTGAGGCTGGCTTTGATCCTCCTGTCTCAGCCTCCTGAGCTCCTGGGATTACAGGTGTGTGCCACAGCACCCAGCTTCTATGTATTCCTCTCCCTTGAGAAAAGAGGACTTGAGAAGGTGTCTGTTTTTAGTGGAATCTTTAGAAGACAGCAGTGTGCTGATCTTACACAGCCTGATGCTCAAGGCCTAAGGAATAGCCCCTTAACTTACTTCACCACACACCCCCTTTCAGGGTTCGAAGACCTTCATATATGAGACTCTCCAAAAACTTCCCAGTGCTTCACTCTAATACTAGTAATACAAAGCTCTGTTAGGCTCTAGAATAACTTCCTCAAACATCACTTCCTCTGAGGAAGCTTTTCCTCCCCCACCAAATGAAGTCCCTTTGCACAGCCTTTTCCAGTCCTCTTCTCCATTATAGGAGCTTTGGGTGCAATTATGTGGAACAGTTAAGTGTTTCATAACTGCAGGTCTCATCCCCAGCTTGCTCTGTGCATCTCATAAATGCTTGCAATTATCTGCCCCTTGTTGGCTTAGCTGACCTTCCTGAACTGTTCAGGCTTTGAAGTCAGATCTGTGTTGTACCCAGCTGGGAAAGGGCCTTTCTGAGCCTCAGTAACCTGTCTCTAAAGAAGAAACAAGAACATCTATTTCCCTCTGGGTGGTTGGGAGGTATCCGTGAGCTCAGGTGTGTCAAACACTTAGCTTGGCGCCCAGAACAGGGTGGGTATGCAAGTGTGTGACACCACTCATGCACACACCCCACAGCTGGATGGAGGTTGGGCTGCTTGTGCTGTCTTCCTCTCAGGTGTAAACAGAGGGAAATATCTGAGTTCAGCTGACTGGGGGTGGGGAGGGAGTGTTTGCCCCTTCCCTGCTGGTAGAAACTTAGCATATATAAGAATCTGTAGCTGAATCTAAATGCTCCCAGGGTCTGCCTACCAAGAACAAAGGCTGGCCCACTCCAAGAGGACAATGCAGGTAGTGGATAGAACCCTGGGAAGCCAGACTGAGCTGCATTTAAATATTCAGGCCTGGGGCCACTTCCAGGAGCTGTATGGTAGAATATAAAGGCCCTTTGATGCCATAGGTATTACTTGGGTTCACATTGCAGATTGATCATTTGTCTTCTGGTGCTTAACATTTGGACCTTTAATCTTTCCTTGTGTGCAAAATAAAGTCCCCTTTACCCTCAGATTGATGACAATTAGATGGAACCTGCATTATACATAGCTGAACAAATACAGAAGTTAACATCTAGTGAGTGATTGCATTAGGAGCCAGGCACTGAGATCTGAGCTGATTATCCTCTTTTTCACAACTGGTCTGAGGACCTCCTGTTGAGTGGTCTCCTAGAGTGCTGTTTGACTTCAATGTTCCTTCTGCCCCTGTGATGCCAGAGTTAGAACTATAAATTATAGTAGCCCCTATTGGTTCTCCTTCTGCTCCACATTGGCTGTGTTACTTTGGGCAAGTGACCTGCCCCCACTGGGTTTCCCTTTCTCCATCTATAAAGTGTAGGTAGAATCATGCCCTTATCAGGTGTGCTGAATGTGTGTTCTTCAGTATGGAAGCCCCTAGCCATGTGTGGTTATTTAAATTTAAATAAAAGTAAACATTTCAGGACTTTTTGTTCTAGTCATATTTGGAATGCTCAGCCACAGTGACTAGCTACCCTATTTATTTATGCAGATGTAATTCATTCCATCTAAAACATTGGGTCATCATAGAAAATCCCATTGGCCTATTCTATGCCACACACTGGGATAACAACAGTGAACTAGATCTAGTGTGTGCCTTGAGGTGAGAAACTTTGACAGGTGCTGTGATTGGGGGTAGCCTGTCCCTGGGTCTGGGGGTAGACAAAAGGAGCTTTTCTCTCTTAGTGAACCTCAAGTGCAAAAGTCTTGTAACTCCTGAGACCTTGAGAGATTTAGAGAATGGGGAATATTGTTCCTGTATTTTAGGAAACTTGTCTGTTTGCCAGATCTCCTACCTCTTTCCTGACTGAATGACCAAAAGTGACTTGTCCTCTCTGAGCCTTCTTACTCTGTAAAATGGGGACCCAAAAAGTGGCTTTATGTCTAGGAAGTCAATGCTAAAATAATGGCAAGCAGTATTGTTACCTACTCTTCTTCTTCTTCATCATCATCATTATTATTATTGACTCCCTACTCCAGGGAATGGAGGGCTGATTTGGAGGTGTCATCTCTTGGCAGTGAACGTTGTCCTGCCTGAGTCCCTTGCTGTCAAAGTTGGAGGCCTTTAGGGATTAGAGCTGTAGAGCCCAATCTCTCCGTCTTGCTTTAAGGGTTTCACCTCTGTCTGGAGTGCTGGTCCCTTGTGTCTTTACAGGCCCTGCTGCCTTCTCATTGATTAGATATGAGCACAAAGGTCACCTCCCCAGTGGCTCTTTCTGCCTACTTAGACTAAAATATTTCACACTGTCCCACCTTGTCATTGCAATCATTGTTCTAAGATTTCATTCACGTCTCCGATTCGAAATCTGTTCATTCGTCCACGAGATTCAAAATATATGAAGCCTGAGACTTTGTATTTTCACTGCTGTATTCTTGCTGCCTATAGTGTAGTCACCAAAACTATTTGTCATATGAACAAATTAATTTCAGTCCCACCTGGAAAACACTTAGCATGGTGCTTTATGCTTGACACACTGATGAATAAAAGGTGCAAACAATGGTCTGTACCCTGGCTGTACATTTTGCAGGGATCCCACCTCATACCAATGCAATTAGAACTGCTGGAGGTGGGACCTTGGCATTGATAATTTAAAAAAATTTTTTTTCAGTTGGAGATGGACATTTATTTATTTATTATGTGGTGCTGAAGATTGAACATAGAGCTGCACATATGCCAGATGAGCACTCTTCCACTGAGCCAAAACCCCAATCCCTTGGCATTTGATATATTTGAAAAAGCTTCTCAAGGGATTCTGATGTACTGTTTGGACTAAGAAACCCTTGTTTGGGATAGCAGTGAGGTTAATGACATCTGATTTTTATTAAGCGCTTATGGTGATAGAGGTGCTGTGGTAAGCCTTGTGGCATTCTCTCATTTAATTGCCATGGTGACATAGTGAAAGTAGGTACTAATGCTATTATTTGGTGAGGAAACTGAGGCTCACAAATGAAGCTGTCATTTGAGCTCTGGCAATTTATGTCCAAAGCCCCTGAGTTTTACACGTACTCCATACTGTACATTATCTATCATTGCCATCATCATCATCATTATTCATAAAAATGTTGATAGATTCGGACCCATCATTTAAAGATCTAGGGGTACACCTTCTTCCTTGTCAGAATTTGGAGTGAGTGAGTTAAACGTGGAGTTTCCCCAGGTTCTGCCCAGCACCTCTTGGAGGCCCTCTATGACCCCCATCTCAATTCTGCCCTCCCTTCTGTGGTTCTCTATCTCTCCTCAGGTTCCCTGAGGGGAGGCTCAGTTTGTGGAGTCAGCAGTCCTTATCTCCCAGACAGAGCTGTTGGGCTTTTTCTCTCTGGTGAGGGAGGAGGGAAGCTGGAAAGGGAGTGCTTGGGGTTGATGATAGTCAGTGTGCTGGCCTTGGACACCTGGCCTAATAGTTCCTAGAAGTTGGGCTGAAAGGGACCTGAACAGTCAGCTCAGCTCCTTTCTTTGTTTAGGATTAAGGCCCAGAGAGAGTGTACATAACTTTCCCAGAGCCATACAGCAAATTAGTGGCATAATTGGTAGCCACATCTGGGACTTCCTGGTCTAATAGTGTTTCTCCTTTGTGGTTTGCCAGACTTCAGGGGGATTTTGACCAACTTAAAAAAAAAAAAAAAGATTCAAGTATAGTTTTTAGTTCCTGGACACCTAAGATATTAAATCTAGAACTTAATGGAGAAGGGAGGATTGGGGAACTTCCCCTCTCCAATAAAAGCATAACTTTTTTAATATTTATTTTTTAGTTTTAGGTGGACACAATATCTTTATTTTAATTTTATGTGGTGCTGAGGACCGAACCCAGTGCCTCATGTATGCTAGGCGAGTGCTCTACCACTCTACCACTAAACCACAACCCCAGCCCATGAAGGCATCACTTTTTATTTGGGTAAAATTTTTCCAAAGTCTGTGATTAGTAAATTAACAAAATAAATATCCTTCTTGAACCCCATCTCTAGGACTAGGAGAAGCGGATTTAGTGAGTGTGTGATTCTGGTTTATTAATTTTTTTTCTTTCTTTTTTTGATATTAGTGATTGAACCCAGGGGTACTTTGCCACCAAGCTACATCCCTGGCCCTTTTTATGTTTTATTTTGAGACAAGGTCTTGCTGAGTTGCTTAGACCCTCACTAACTTGCTCAGGCTGGCCTTGAATTTACAATCCTCCTGCCTCAACCTCCTAAGTTGCTAGGATTACAGTCGTGCACCACCATGCCTGGCTGATTCTGGTGGTTTCTACAGAGGCTCAAATACCATTATAGCAGAATAGTCACCACCATCTGCCTTGTATCACCTGCCCTGATTCCCTCCATGCCTCTGCTTTTTCTGTTTTCATTCACAGAGCACGGTGAATGACCCAGCACTCCTTTCCACAAAACATGATCTGGAAGAAGAACAACTTAAAACAGATCATCAGAGGGCAGTGTTTTTAGAAGCAAAAGCATTGAGGATTGTGGGGTCACAGATGAGGGTCAGAAAAATGTTTCTAGTCCCTGAAGGACTATGAAAGAGCTCTGTAAGCTGGGCCATGCACGTTTGTAATCCCAGTGACTTGGGAGGCTGAGGAAGGAGGACTGCAAGTTCCAGGCCAACCTTTGCAATTTAGAGAGTCTCTCAGCAATTTAGTGAGACCCTAAAAAATAAAATAAAAATTAAAAAGGGCTAGGGTGTAGCTAGTGGTAAAGCACTCCTGGGATCAATCCCTAGTATTCCCAAAAAAGCTCTGCAAAAGGAACAGCCAGAGGGAGGGTGGTGAGCCTGGACCACTAATTGATTTAGAAGACCATGGAAGGGGTGAAGATAATTGATCAGATTTACACTCAGAAAGTTAGTCTGGGTCTGGGGTTGTGGCCCAGTGGTAGAGCGCTTGCCTAGCATGTGTGAGGCACTGGGTTTGATTCTCAGCACCGCATATTAATAAGTTCATTAAATAAGAGTCCATCAACAACTAAAAATATGTATATTAAAAAAACAAAAAAGAAAATCTGGCTGCTGAATAGAGGATCACTAGGGGCAGGTGGGCTATGGAAGTCAGGAGACAATTGGTAGGGTTGTGGGTGATAGTAGATGATAGTTGTATATGAGGTGGTGGTAGTAGTCAAATGATCATGAGAGGGACTGAAGCTGCTTCATAGGCATCAAGGGTATTTGATTACTGGCTTTGGGATACACACTATGGGGAGTTTTGTATGTGTTTTTGGGGCTGCTAAGATGGTGGTGTCCCGAGATGTCCAACATGGTGGTTGTATATTTCTTTTCTCTGGATCCCTCCCACCAAGCAATGCTAGGGCTCCTGGGTCCCTGCCCAGTTCTTAAACAATTCAGCCTGGGATGAACCCTCTTTCCTGTTTACCTGTTCACCATCCAATAAATGGGTACAAATTTTCCACCTGATTCCTCCATGCAGAGTAGACCAGAAAGATGGTTTTAGGAGGAGGTTGGAGAGATAACAGTCCTCTTCGTTGTCCTCCCTTCTTCCAGCTAACCTCTATGTGTTTCTTCCCAGGAACAGAAGGAGAGCCGGTCTCGTCGAGGCCGAGGACCCAGCGCCTTCATCCCAGTGGAGGAGGTAAGCTTGGAAGGGGTTAGAAATCTGGTACCTGGAAAGAAAAGACATGAGACATTGTGGATCAGGGTCTTTTCCTATCCCTTAACTTGCAGCTTTGAATCTACACACAAAACAGCTCTGTGGAGCAGGCACTACCAACACCATTTTCCTGAGGAAGAGCAGGCTTGGAGAAAGTAATATAACTTATTCATACTTTAGCTTCCCAGATCAATGCTTCTATTTTCTTAATGAAATGGAACTACCTCTGTGTATCTTCTCACCCTTGATTGTATGTCTATTACAAAAAGTGATTTGTTTTTAAAGTAATGTATGTTCATTATTTTAAAACTTCCAGTATGTCAGAAACCTCTAGTGTCTTGTAATTACACCCCCCACACAAGTCATTATATTTGTTAATCATTTACCATTTGCTACTGTTTTCTGGATTTTTTTTCCCCCTAGTATCGGGGATTGAACTCAGGGGTACTCTACTGCTGAACTGTCCCCCGCCTTTTGTGGTGCTGGGGATTGAACCCAGGGCCTTGTGCATGTGAGGCAGGCACTCTACCAACTGAGTTATATCCCCAGCCCTGACCTGCCCTTTTTTATTTTGAGACAGGAACTTGCTAAGTTGTAGAGGCTTATCTTGAACTTGACATCATCTTATCTCAGCCATCTTAGTCACTAAAATTACAGGCATGTGCCACCCCATCCAGCTTAGGCTTTTTTTGTTTTTTCCATACAGATAGTTACTTTTGTACAGAAAACCAAGATCATAGCTTTCAGTTTGTTTTTCATTTGTTTTGTTTTTTCACTTTATAATACAACAGAGACATCTTTCACCTACAGAGTTTGTTCATTCATTCATTTTTATTTATACTATTAATTTGTAGTGTTGAAATTGAACCCAGGGCCTCATGAATGCTAGACAAACACTATACCACTGAACTGTACCCCAGCCCCATTCATTTATATAACAGATATCTGTTGAATTATTAATCTGTGATGCATCATCTTACGAACTGTGGCTAGAAAATAAAATAGGCAAAAATCTGTCTACACAGAGCTTACATTCTAGTGTGTATGTCTGGGGGAATTACCCTCAAAACACACAGAAATTTTTAAAAATTGATTGCTCATTTTTCTTCAACGTTCAGTTCAGAGGAATAAGTTTTTTTTATTTCCTGTCCTCTTGTTCTCCCAAATGTGTGGGCCAAATGGTTAAGGACCTTGTTAACAAACCCCTAAGTTCTGTATTTCCCCCTTCTTTGTAAATGTAAGGCGAGCAACCACACAATGATTATTTGTATCTGTAGCCTCTTTTATAATAAAGGAACAAAATAGGCTATGGAGTTCATCTCAGTTTGAATCCTGGTTCTGTCATTTGCAAGATCTGTGACTTCAAGCAACAAACAAAACCTCTCTGATTTTCTCATCTGTCAGTGGGGGGAAATAATAGGATTCACCTCACAGAAATATTCTGAAAATTCGAAGAGATAATGCAGGGAAAGCTCCAAATTGTGGACTTGGCATGGACAGAGTGCTCAGGAAACGTGAACTGTTTTCACCTCTCCACCGTTGGCTGGGTATATTTGCCAGATTCAGACAGAAACTCCATGAAGGCAGGAGAGACGACTATTGTTGTTTGAGATGGAACCCAGTACCTTGTGCATGCCACTTAGCTACAACCTCGCCTCCAAAACCATACTTGTAATCTCTGTTCCTGAGTTTTCCTGTTTAAAAATGAGGAAGGGGCTAGTGTGTAGCTCTCCGTGTTAAAGCATTTTCCCAGCATGCCTGAGGTACTGGGTTTGATCCCTGGCAACACAAAAATAAGAGAAAATATAACTTCAGTTTTATCATTCTTGTGAGGATTATTTTATCTTAGATTTTTTGGTACTGGGGATTAAACCTAAGTCCTCAGGCATGCCAGGCAAGCACTCTGTCACTGAGCTACACCTCGAGCCCAGTTGTTGTAAGGATTAAGTAAGTTCATAGTACTTCAACAGTACTTGGCAGATAATGACCATTATATTATATAAGTCTTATCTATTATTATATAAAGTACCAAATAAGTATTTAATCAATTAAATATTTCTTCTTCCCCATTCCCTCTTTGGATATGATGGTGGTTTTCAGTCTTTTGCTATTATAAACGCACCACAAAGGATATGTTGGTCTCAGATGGGAAAGACAGGAGGGAAACCATGTTCTCTTTGTTTGGCAGGTTCTTCGGGAGGGGGCTGAGAGCCTTGAGCAGCACCTGGGACTGGAGGCGCTGATGTCCTCAGGGCGGGTGGATAACCTTGCCGTGGTGATGGGCCTGCACCCTGACTACCTCAGCAGCTTTTGGCGCTTACACTATCTGCTGCTGCACACAGATGGGCCCCTGGCCAGTTCCTGGCGCCACTACATTGCCATCATGGTGAGCCTGTCTGGGGCCAGATGCTTGTAGGGGTGTCCTCATGGGGCTTCTGTATTTGAATGTCTTTGCTGGGGACTTCTTGAGTTTATATCATAGATGACGGGGGAAAATATCACTTTGTCCAACTATCCATACACTTTAGGCTTTGAATAGATGCATCTTTAGACACATCTTTAGTGTCTACTTCGTCTACTAGTGTCTGTAGATTGAGTAACTGAGGTACAAAGGGGTCAGGTGACTTGCAAGATGGTGGTAGAGCATGACCTGAATTTCCTGCCTCTTAGGCAACAATAAGCCCTACACTATCTCTTTCTAAGGGGGACCCACCCTGAGCACAGCCCAGAAGGACAAGGGTGACCCAGACTTTATCAACCTTCTCCACAGGCTGCTGCTCGCCACCAGTGTTCTTACCTGGTGGGCTCCCACATGGCTGAATTTCTGCAGACTGGTGGTGACCCTGAGTGGCTGCTGGGTCTCCATCGGGCCCCGGAGAAGCTGCGAAAACTTAGCGAAATCAACAAGTTACTGGCACATCGGCCGTGGCTCATCACCAAGGAGCACATCCAGGTGCAGTGGCCCCAGAGGCATGGCCCTGAGGGAGCCCAGTGGCCAGGCTGGGGCTGGGCAGGAAACCCAGGGGCAGACACTGAGCAGATCTGACCTTCTTTCCCCTCCAGGCCTTGCTGAAGACTGGGGAACATAGCTGGTCTCTGGCCGAACTCATCCAAGCCTTGGTCCTCCTCACTCACTGCCACTCACTGGCCTCTTTCGTGTTTGGCTGTGGCATCCTTCCTGAGGGAGATCCAGAGGGAAGTCCTGCCCCTCAGGCACCATCACCCCCCAGTGAGCAAAGCAGTCCTCCAAGTGGGGACCCACTGAACAATTCTGGGGTAAGTTACAGTTCTGGGTCTTAGTGGGGTAGAAAGCTGTTGTGGCCTCTGGTCCTTGAATGGAAGCCACAACTTTCTTAACTCCTCATGCTGAAAGGCTACAGAAAAGTTATTGTTTGACCTTTTTTTGGTGGGGGGAGCTACCTGGGATTGAACTGAGGGACACTGAACCACTGAGCCACATCCCTAACCCTATTTTGTATTTTATTTAGAGACAGAGTCTCACTGAGTTGCTTAGCACCTCATTTTTGCTGAGGCTGGCTTTGAACTTATGATCCTCCTTCCTCAGCCTCGAAAGCCACTGGGATTACAACTGTGTTCTACCATGCCCAGCAAATTATTTGACTTTGAAGCTCAGCTTCCTTGTCTGTTAAATGAGAATAAAAACCCCTACTTACAGTGGGTTGTGAGGATTCAGTGAAATATCATGTGACTGGACTTTTATTGTGGGTATTAACACTTTAAAAATACAAAGTTTGATGGGCTAGGGGTGTAGCTCAGTTGGTAGCGTGCTTGTCTTGCATGCACGAGGCCCTGGGTTCAGTCCCCAGAACCACCAAAAAAAAAAACCCTGAGCCAGGCATAGTGGTACCCTCGTGTAATCCCAGCTACTTGGGAAGCTGAGGCTGGAGGATTACAATTTCAAGACTAACCTGGAAATTTAGCAAGACTCTGTCTTAAAATCAAGAAGGACTGGGGATGTAGCTCAGTCGTAGCATGCGTGAGGCTTTGAGTTCCATCTTCAGCATCACCAAAAAAAAAAAAAAGAAGAAGAAGAAAACAGATGCTTTGAAAATTACCTCTGAGGGAGTAGCTGCTTAGGGAAAATACGTGTCTCTGCTGTAGCTTTATAAACTTCCCCTTGGGAAGCATAGACCACGTGAGTTGTCTAGCTCAGTGGCTGGCGCGGAGACTGCCCTAGTGCATTACGATCATCCAGGCAGTCCTGGTAAGTGGGAAGGGTGAGTAGTTTTCCACAGGGCGAGGGAGGAGAAATGGTGACTACTGGATCCATCTTCAGGGTTTTGAGTCTGCCCGGGATGTGGAAGCTCTAATGGAACGCATGAGGCAGCTGCAGGAGAGCCTGTTGCGGGATGAAGGAGCCTCCCAGGAGGAGATGGAGAGCCGTTTTGAGCTGGAGAAGTCGGAAAGCCTGCTGGTGACTCCCTCAGGTAGAGGATCACAGTAGCCCAGGGTCCATGGGCTGCCCCTTCTTTCACCATCTGGTGGAAGTGGACTCCTCCATTTATCGTGTTTTCTGAACTCTAGAGGCTGCCACCCTTCAGCCTCCTTGCCAAGAGGTTCCAAGAATGGGCCTTGGGTTCAGACCTGCCTTTGAGTCTCATCACTTTAGCCTTTCTGTGTGACCACTGACTAGTCACTTCCTGTTGCCAGCTTCTGGTTTGTTGTGTAGAGTAACTGAAACAAAGTGCTAAGCCCAGAGCCTGGCCTAGGGTGAGCAGCCCCCATGGAACTGCCACCATTAGTGTTACTGGGGGCCTTACCTCTTCCTCCCCCAGGCCTGGCTCCAGCTGAAGTCCTGCTCCCACTCACTAGCGACGGACTCTCTCTGGCTCTCTGCTCTGCCTCCCCATGCCCCCCTTTGATGATTAATCAGGAGTGGAGCCCTTTGTGCTCCATGTCTCGACCTCACGGTGACCTCTTTCTGACATGGTCCTCAGCTGACATCCTGGAGCCCTCTCCGCACCCAGACATGCTGTGCTTTGTGGAAGACCCCACTTTTGGATATGAAGACTTCACTCGGCGAGGGGCTCAGGCCCCACCCACCTTCCGTGCTCAGGTAATGCCCTCCCTACTGGTCATGGTTGTCGCTTCAGATTATGAACAGGCAGGGGACAGATGGTTTGAGTGGTTACAGAGTTGAGTACATTCTCCACTCAAGATCCCATAAAGGCAGTGGGGGACCCCATGTATCCTAGAGGGACCCATCTATTCCCCAAGCTCAGGGAGTCCTGATCACAGGGAGAAAGTCATCACTGAGGTATATCCACCCTGGTTTCTCAGGCCTGGAGCAAGCAGCATGTTAGGTTTGTAGCGTAGGAAATAAACATTATGGAGAGGCAAGGTGTGCTCTAGAGGTCTAGAGGACAGGGTCTCTGGTCAACATTGTGCTCCAAAGTCTCACTTATCAACTGAACTCTTCCCATATTCCTCAGGATTATACCTGGGAAGACCATGGCTACTCACTGATCCAGCGGCTGTATCCTGAGGGTGGGCAGCTGCTGGATGAGAAGTTCCAGGCAGCCTATAGCCTCACCTACAACACCATCGCCATGCACAGTGGCGTGGACACCTCCATGCTCCGCAGGGCCATCTGGAACTACATCCACTGCGTCTTTGGCATCAGGTGAGCACACGTCCTTCCGTCAGGGCATGCACACACAAGTCTTCTCTCTGAGCTCACTCTTATTGCTTTTGTTATTGTTGCCTTTCCTTTCTGCTTACTATTTTTCAAAGCCAATTTATTTCTTAACTAATTTTAAGAGATAATAGGAGTGCTCACTTTCTTTCTTGAACCTTGTAAATGAAACTCTTAATCTTACCTGCTGAGATAACTATACATAAACATGTTACATATATGACATACACATATATGTCCATGTCACTAGAGAGAGTTAAGTTTATATTTCCATTCTGAATAGCAGATTTTCTCATAGCGAATAAAGACAACATAAATACCCATCAATAGGGGACTTTAAATAATGATATGGCCATTTAGTGAAATATTGTGCAGCAATTAAGGGTTGGGGATATAACCCAATGGTATAAGGCCCTGGGTTTAATTCCTAGCACTGGGGAAAAAAAACAACAAAACAAAACAAAAACAGAAATATGCAACTATTATAATATTATAATATGAATATAGAGATCTATTTATATTGCCATGGGAAAATGTTCAAAATGTTTTGAAAGAAAAGAAGCTTACCAACCAAAATCTTCTTTTTTGTTCCTTTTTTTCTGAATGCTTGCTTGTTCATGGAAAATGTTATTTAACGGTGGTTATCTTTATAGTACAC